ACGCTTAACATATTTGATCAGCTTCAGTAAATGAATGGTAGAACAGGGTTTGGGGAAAATAACAAAAAGACAAAACTTAAGTTTCAACGGACAGGATGCTGTGCAGGGCCATGATTGCCTAAGAAAATTTACTTAAATATTTGTATCTATAAAAAAGAATGAATAAACATAAAAATGTCTTAGAATAATCGTTGGACTTTGTCCATTTCATCATAATAAATAATATATAGATAATTAATATACAGATTATGCATTCGAAAGAAATAAGCAACTTTTATTAACCAAATTCTTTTGCTGTCCAAAATCATTGCTTCCATCCACACGTAAGAATATGATTTTATTTTGCGGATCAAGACGCACATCTCTTTATAATTCTTGTGCGCGATGACCCAAAAGTCTTTGAACACAGAAATAGTCATTTGGAAGGCATGGTTGTTAAGAAAGTAACAACACGATCACCAAATTAATCCTCTGATGTTGAAATGGCATCACTTTTTACGAGGAGTGTTTGGGTACGGTCTTTGAGAATAAGATTCTTTGTCCTTTGTTTCCACCGGCGTACGTCAGGCTTTGCGTGAGACAAGATGAAGAATTTTACTTTGAAATCGAATTCTGTTCCTCTTAATATTCTTGAAAATCGCAGATGATTTTTACTCGCGACGATTCAGCGGGAATCTTGCGTTCGATAAAAAGATTTTGTGGTGGTAATGGCGGTGGGGGGGGGGGTCACACATTGCTTGAGAAATCAGTTTTCTCCGGCTGATCTATTTTTCTTTATTCTTTTATTATCTCTTTGCTAATTTGCAGCTTCAGGGCAGACAGTGTCACGATGTAAATTTCGCGGTCGGCAGCTCTAACACCCACATTTTTTTTCTTTTTTCTTTTTTTTCTTTTTTCTTTTCTTTTCTTTTTTCTTTTCTTTTCTAAGACAGTATTTAAAGAATCCAAATTGATTGTTCAATATAAGTTTTTACACTTTCTGTGTATACAAGTTCTAGCAATTTTTCATAAATACTCTTCTTTGACCCTGCAACAAACATGGAAGAATTTTTATCTCCAATGAGTTACGTTTAGGCTAAAAGGTCAAAGGTTATCAAGGATCTGTCGTTCATTTCGGATTCGTTTGAAAACGTTTTTATAAAAATGCATAGGAAAAACCGTCGGGTTTAACAATGTTTTTATTTGTTAGTTTACTAATCCAAAATTGAATGTCAACATCAAAAATTCCATGGAAAAAAAGATTAAAAAAAAAAACAATAGTCTTTTTTTTTTTAACTGTCTTCACATCTTTATTACATTTTGACGGATGTACCAAACGGAAAAAGAAGACCAGTTGAAGAAGAAATAAGAAATTAATTAACAAGAATATTTATACTATTTATATTCGGAATATTATCCTCATCTTTATAGTTACTATCACAATGTTTCTGTCGTTGTGCTCTTCGGCTTTCCTCAGGTGTATATTGATCTGGGTAACCTACAGTAAATTCCGAACTGAAATCTGCATTTAATCTATGAGACAAGGGTTGACTGTTCTCGTCCAACTGTTTATATCTAGGATATCATCAGGTTCAGTAATTCTTCTGTTATGTACCGTTTCATTTCATATCTTAGGCGATCATGGCTCTCCACAGCATCCTGTCCGTTGAAACTTAAGTTTTGTCTTTTTGTTATTTCTCCCAAACCCTATTCTATCATTCATTTACTCAAGCTCATCAAATATGTTACGCTTTGCTATCTTCTGTCCCTCATTCCGTCAATCTGTCCCTGTGAGTATCAAATTTTCTAAGCCCCCTTTCCTCATTAGGTGCCCCAGAAATTTCAACTGCCTCTTCCGGATGTTAAGCATAACTTTCCTTTTTGCTATCATTTCCTCCAAAACCTCATCGTTATTCGGTCCATATTATTCTCAGAATCCTTCTGTAGAGCCACATTATTGTTGCTTTATGTCTCTTCGTCATCTTTTAGGAGACTATTCAACATTCGCTGCCATACAGAAAGACAGATTTCTCGTAACAGATCAATAATGTTTTATTTGCTTCTAACGAAATTCTTCCTTCTCTTAATATTCTCTTTTGCTTTTGGAATTAATCTTTGGCCATTCCAATAAGTCTTTGGATCTCAGTGTCGAACTTTCCGTCTTCTGTGAGAACACTTCCCAGATATTTAACTTTCTATACTTGTTTGATTTTAGTATCCCCGTTTTGCAATTTGCACTTTGATGATGGCTATGCACCCAGTCTTCTTGTAGTTTATACTTAGTCCTTTATTCTAGCTTTCGTTCGCTACCTTCTGTAGGAGATTTTGTAGTTTCCTTATCTGCATATCTTATGTTGTTAAGATTATGGCCGCCAATAATGAATTCTTGTAGGACTTCTAATTCTCTTAAGAGTGCCTAGCTGTATAGGTAAAATACACCCGGTGAGAAGACATATCCTTGCCTTACACCCCTTTCTATTTTTGTATATCTGCTGAACTCATTTTCTGTCCCTATGCAGGCGTTTTGCTACCAGTAGAGATTCCTGATTATTCTAATAACCTTCCCGAATATATCAGGGTTGCTGAGCAGCTCTAACAGATATTTCTCTACACCATCCGACTCAGGGATTGAAGTCATAATACACGGATCAATGCTTTAATCCACTAGGATCTTTTCTAGTAGGACAAAACAAATAAGGACAATAATCTGGATATAAATTGCGTAAATAATGGTAACTGCTCAGCCCAGAAATTCAGGCAGAAATTTACAAGAATATATAGCAGAAAAAGACGAAGACAATAGGAATAAGTCTACATGAAGATAAAAGACAATTGTGATATTTTCCCGCAACAGAAATAAAATAATCAATATTGTCTCATGTACAAAACGATAATCAATATTGTCTCATGTACAAAACGATAAAGTTGATAAACAAAGTAGTTACAGGTATTATGTTGTTCGGTAAATAATGTCCAATTTTAGGATTTAATCAGCTAAATTAAGAACCCTGGACATGTATAAATTTCTGCCATCGAGTTACAATGTTAATTGTGTCTTTACGATAAAACTTTAAACCTTTGGGCTCAAAAAGAACTTTCTGAATCCTATTTGCAGCGGAATGTCGTTTGACTTAAAAGAGGCCAGGGTGCTTAAAAAAGTGATAGTGGGCGAGAAAACAGATGTGGATGTGGCAAAGTCTTGTTTTCAAAGTCGGTACTATCACCCTGGCATCATAGGACCGAGAAAAGTCATGAAGCAGAACTGGACCTCATTGATTAACCAATGACGTTCGCATTTTGCTTAATTGAATGAGAATTGAATGTAGTTGCAGGCAGTAAATTTCGGCCGCTGTTCTGGTTAGATTCCAGAAAGCTGTAATGGATAACGTTAGCAGTGGGATGCCTGACAGTCGCCATGATGTTCGTTTTTGTTTTTTTTTTCTTTTTTTCAATTTCTATTTAGGAAAGTATTTGGGTCCTTCATTATGAGGAAGCCATTGAGACAATCGTTTATGATTGTCATAAAGGATTCATTTCTCATCACAAGCCATTATTCAATCAATAAACGGATCATTTGCATTTTACAGATGACAATCAACACATTGAACTCTTTGATTGTCATTGAATACAGGTGGAACCTATTTACCAAATTCCTTTCCCTGACCAATTTTCTTGAGATGGTCTAATATTGTTGAAATGCAAAGACCAATTATCTGAGATGTTTCTCTGATACTGTAACGTGGATTTTGTTCAACTACTGTTTTCAGATGTTGATTCTCAATTGCAGATGAACGTCCTCTACAACTTTGATCTTCTAAACTCGTATAAACACTGCGGAATTTCTGAAACCAGCGCCATATTCTCCAATCACAGAGAAGGATTGATATCAAATTAACAAAGACGACATTTTAATCATTAAGAATGAGTAATATATTTTTGTGCAGCTATTATATTAAGGAATCAGAAGACAAGAGTAAAGTAAAAGAGTTATTCCAAAGTCGAAAATTATTTCCCAAACAACCAAATACTATTTTCTATTGAATATGCAGCGTGCGTCATGTATTTGAGAACAAACTTCCGAACGCAATTGATATCAAATTAACAAATTGGACATTTTAATCATTAGGAATGAGTAATATATTAGAAGACAAGTAAAAGGATTAATCAAAAATCGAACACTATTTCCGAAACAACCAAATACTATTTTCCATTGAATATGCAGCGTGCGTCATGTATTTGAGAACAAAATTCCGAAGGAGATTGATATCAAATTAACAAAGAGGATATTTTAATCATTAGGAATGAGTAATATATTAGAAGACAATTAAAAGTATTAATCAAAAACCGAACAATATTTTCGGAACAAGCTAATGTGTCTCACTATATTCAAAACAACCCTAATCCTAATCCTAACATTAACCCTACCGCTAGTAACCAAGCAAGAATTGGTAACCAAGAATCTGAGGTTAGAAGCAATGCGAGAGAATATTCGAGGAAAAAAGTCTTAGAAAGTCGCCATTTTATAATTGTCATCAAAGGTTTGTCATTCAAACGTTTAAAATGATCAAAGACGAAATAAAGTTAAAAGGAATTACCGTCAGAAAACGGATCCAAAATTACTAAAGCGTAAGCTAAACTCAGACGTGTTTAGATTGACGTACCAAACGCACATTGAAATGAACCAAAGTTGTGTCTGGAATATTCTCTTTGAATTTCTGTCTCGTGAACGTAGCATAGACTAAAATATGGAGTTTGAAAATAATGGCGCCTCTATTTTAGTAAATAAAAAAATCAACCCGCAAAATCCATGAATATTTCAAGTTTTCCCATTTGAATTTTCTGATGAATCATAATTATGTTAATGATTAAATAAGCTTATTGCAAATTCCACAAATCGAAAATATACATGAGAATACAAAAGGTAAATAAAAAAACATAATTTAATGAAAGATTTAGCTTATAATTAAAAAACAATGGATGATTAATTACATTACAATGTAAACAAATTGGTGATTTAATTAATGTCTCACGGCACGTTTATAAAGGCCAGGTTTCAATCATATTCTTTCTTTCAATTTTCTCTGTCTCTCTCTCTCTCCCTCTCTCTGTATCTACCTATCCATCTATCTATCTATCTATCTATCTATCTATCTATCTATCTATCTATCTATCTATCTCAAACTGTTCATATCTATCTATATATCTTAGCCTATCCCTATCTATCTATCTATCTATCTATCTATCTATCTATCTATCTATCTATCTCTAACCGGTCATATCTATCTATCTATCTATCTATCTATCTATCTATCTTTCTTTCTTTCTTTCTTTCTTTCTTTCTTTCTTTCTTTCTATCTCTTTGTAGCTATCAATCTCAGTCTATATCTATCTATCTCTCTATCTATCTATATCAGACCCGTCATATCTATCTATCAATCTCAGACTGTTCATATCAATCTATCTATCTATCTATTCTTCTATCTATCTATTTATGACTGTCCTTTTTGTAAGCAAATCATTTGGATCAAACGCGTAACATTCCAACTTTTAATATTCCCGATCGCTGTGCCACTGTCTCCCGAATGTGATCCCCTCAATATGAAAATGCGAATGTTGATCCACCCTCTCCCCCGATCGGGCTGTCGTTGCATTTCATTTATAACAGAAACAAACTAAAAGTTCATCTGAAAGCGACCCATTTCCTTTCTCGAGTTATTGCAACCATTTGATTTTGACGAATGCCTTATTATTTAAACAGAATTACGACATTTAAGGTCACGGATGCAGGGGGAAACTATGGATAACCATTATATTTGTTTATTATTTAATTTTTATTGATTTATTTTAACGGTTTATCAGTCCTTTTGCGGTTATTTAAAGCCGAACAATATTTTTTGATTGTAAGAATATTTGGACGATAATAATAATTGTTTTGATAAAACTCTTACTTTTTAACCCATCGCAGGGAGGATAAGAGATGTATTAGTACTTTTCCCAAGGTATGAAAACTCGACTGAAATTCGAACTCGTCTTTCCAATTTCTTATTCCGAGCTTTTATCCATTACACCACCCACACACCCAAGCCTGAGTTCCTGGTATTCCCAAGTGATCACTCCTCTAGGTACAATGTTGCTTAACTTTGGTGATCGAACCAGAACCGACGTTTAGACGTGATACGGCCATAAACCCTGTTTGTTTTGTTAAACAACATTTTTTATATTCACAAAATTTTTTATGTTACTTTAAACATAACATTGTTGGATTACGGCCCACTGATTATTCAAATCTCACTGCGGCGAGATTTCGGGATTATCGCCCTTTGATGACTTACAAGCGGCGCGAGATATGAAAGATATATATATATATATATATATATATATTGTTAATATTCCTTTGTTCAAATTCTATGTTTTATTATTTTTGAGGGGAATTATACGAGTCTATATATACGAGGGGATTTATACGAGTTACATACATACATATATATATAAATATATATATATATAACCATGGAAACGTGATTTTAGCTGTGTCTTTAAAACCCAGTAATTTTAAAAGTTACTCCAAAATTCGCTTGAGGATGAAAGGGAACTAATGTCTTTAATTTAATTGCAAAATTAAATTCGTGGCTTTTAGCTTCCATTTTTGAAACATGGTTAGAAGTGTGTAGCGGAAAAAACCATATTTTAAAACAATTAGGAAAATTAAATCAACTATGAAAAATATGAAAATTTTTTTTTTTTTAAATTTTTGTCTCTTGAAATCAAATAAATACGAGACTTTGCAACAGGTTGTAATCAGTCAGTTAAAACAAATTCCAGATTGTCTACTACTATCTTCGTCAAACGAACACTTTACCCTAAAGATTTAAGCGAAATGACTCAACAATCTTCTGGTAATCCCTTCCTTCTGGAAGTTACAGACTTAGCAGAACACAGATTATGAAGTATAAAAAAAAATTCCACAAATTGCTGTTGTTTTGAATAAATTAAAGAAATTCTGTCTCTTTAAATACTAAACTTTGCAACAGGTTGTAATCGGTCAGTTAACACAAATTCCAGATTGTCTACTACTATTTTCGTCGAACGAAACCTTTACCCTAAAGATATAACTACAAATGGAAGGGCCTCGCTCGGAGAGAATTGGATGTGAATTTTAGTAAATATAAATAATTATTTTGGGGTGATTTAATATTTTAGGGTGACACAAAAGACCATCACCTTTAATCCAGGTATGCTTTTAATTTTCGGCTACAGAGTTCATTACAGTACAACAAAACGTAATTACTTACTCTTTTAAAGAAATCTATACCCCCTCATTGCGAATAATCCAGTACCTATACTAGCAGTATACGGATAGTAAATGAATTTAGTAAATATACAAAAATATAAGGGGTGTAAGACAAGGATGTGTCTTCTCGCCGGACTTATTCAACCAATACAACAAGGCGATTTTGAGAAAATTAAAAGTTCTACCAGGATTCATTATTCGCGGCCACAATCTTAATAATATAAGATATGCAAATTACACAGTGTTAATGACAGACAAGGAAAGAAAACTACAAGAACTCCTACAGAATGTAGGGAAATAATCCAACTGAAAATCTATGGCAAGAATTGAAAGTTCAAATAAATCGTCGCTCACCAAAAATCTTCAGGAATTAAAATGTGTAACCATTGAAAAATGGAAGAAAACCCCAGAAAAGACTTCTTCAAATCTCATCAAAAACTTTAGAAAACCAATGCACCAAGTTATAAAGATGAGAGGCCATACTATTGAATATTAATATTGTGAAAAATGTTAATTTTTTCAATTTTTCATACTGTACGAATAATTTTGTCTTTTCCTATTTTGCATAATTCTCCTGTCAAATTTGTTGTATTTAACTTATTGTTCTGTAAATTGAGTTTTATATTCCTTTTTTGTGTTTATTAACATATAAAAAAAACTGACATCATACGGCCATTAGATTCTGAGAAATGGATTAAAATATGCAAAATGAATGGATGTACTAATAATTTCATCGTTGACTGTAGATCAGATGTGAACAGATATTGGAAGTATAAAGTCTCTAATTTCTGTCTAAATTTCATAGGTGAGGAGTTCTCAATATTTACGCGATTCATATTCCGACTAATATCCTCATCTTGTTATCCTCACAACTTTTCTGTCGTTATGACTTCCGGTCTTCATCAGATTTCTATCAATCCGAGAGAAACGGACAGGGATATGAGAATATGGTTCGAAATGCCATGAAAGTTCCGCGGGTCGGTAATCACCTGATTATGGCTGGAGCGCAAATCGGTCGAAAGGTTTTGATTATGTACGCTAAGATGAGGATATTATTTCGAATGTAAATAATAAAGCATTTAGTCGTAACGATTTGGAATTAAGTGACCTTTTTTTTCGGCATCAATGGCATTCATTTTTATTATTATTTTCTTTAATATACTTCTCGGGTCTTAGATGTTTCGGTGTCGATAGTCAGATCTCAGCTCCTACAACGCAACGTAGAGACACAACGGTTTCCTCAGCACATGAGCTGTTCCAAGCAGTGCCGCTATTGATGCCAGATATTCCCATGACGCTTTGAGATTCAAAATGATTTCTGAAAATCGTCCACAGTGTGCCAACTATAGAAGGGATAACTTTCTGTTTGATGTATTTTTTGATTTTCCTTGCCAGGTCTTTTTTTATTGTTTTTAATCATTTGACCCCAAGAAACGCAATGAAGCCACTAAGACGCAAGGGGAGGTGCTGAGTGTTAGAGAATATGAGAAAAAAACACTACCAAAGAGAGAGCAGAAGAAAAGAAAAAGAATTAAGAAGTCAGTAGATAATATTTGGCATTGCATTTAAATGTTTAAAAATTAAAGTTGCCTGAGAAGCAAGAAATCGGACGAAATTCCACGAGTGAGAAGTGCGAGAGAAGAAGCTATTAGCATAGAACTTACGGTTGAATCTAACCATTTTTATATCGGGTCCCAACCTGAAACCTAAGGCCAGAAATAGTATCATGAGATTTTCCACTGTGAATTTCTTGAGGAAAAAAAAAAACAAAGAAAAAACCCTGAGATCACACATAGGTAAAGCTCATCTTAATATGTGAGCTGTACTCGTGAATAGAAATCTTTTATATTTCTTTAAGGCATTGGCTACCAGGAATACCATCAATGAATCCGCCGAAACCTTTTTTCCAATCAAACTACAACTGGAATTGTTGAGCACCTCACCTGCCACATTTTTGAGATTTCAATTTCAAGGTCTATGTATTTGGATAGTTTTGAAGACCTTCCAAGATACATCACTTGTCTGCAGGAAGAGCCATGTCAATAAGAAGGTACATTTTGTTTTGTTTTTTTGCGGTCTCTGATCACAACGTCTGGGTGATTAGCTTTGATTGTGTTGCATACTCCCTCTCGTCGTGAGGAAGGTGTTAGGCGTCGGTGTTAATTAATACACTGTTGTATATCTGCTCTCTTTTCTCTTACTCTTTTCGACCGGATGATCGTTAGTTTTACTTCGGAGATAAAAGACAACTTCAACAAAGAAATTTTAAACTTATTTAGTTGATTCACCAAGTCGACGTCTACATTTTCCAACTATCCAGTGGATCTGATCTCTCACCCTCACCGAAGAGCAAATTCCCAAACACGAATGTACCACGTCTTCATTTTATGACGTGTAAGACCCAAACTCCTTTAAATCCCTTTATCTATCTTTTCCACCTTAGTTTTAGCCAATCAAAAATGACTTCCTTTCTTCTTCTGTATCTGACCTGAAAGGTCAAAAATGAAAAAGTCCGAGAAGAAATACAATTCCCTAAAAAACAATAATCTGCTAAACCGAGTCTAATTTCTTGCAGTTTCAATTCCGTAAAAGTTACAGATTTTCCAGTGCAGATATTAGCCCAATCTGTCATGCCGGGTTTTATATTCAGTGGGTGCCAATCCCGTGCAATCTGATCCAAGATAGTCAATCTTTTATTACAGAATATGCATTTCGGTTTAACAAAATTTTTCCGCATGTGTACTTAGTAATTTCTTGTTAGCTAGTATTGGTCCTGTGCAGAAAGAATAAAACCTTCCAGCTTTTAAATTTGCACCGCGTAACCTACTGATGTGTACGGGGTTTGTCTACATCAACTTGTTTGGTACGGGCATTGACCATAGAGGCTTATCGTTTCAGCATTTGTTCGATTGGATTTGCATTCAGTCTTCTATAGATTCCATATATAATTGCTGGTGTTCCCAGGTCCAGCCTGACCCGGAGTGGTAGCACCTGTTAGGGTCCCAGCTATGGACAAATAGTTAACACTGAAACTGGGGTCAAAACACGTTCAAAGTGTAAAAATAGGTTTTAATACCAGAAATACTTTGTAAAAAATTATTATCATCAATACATTGGTGAAAAAAAAAAATTACCAACAATATATTTTTGAAAAAAAAATATTACCAACAATACGTTTATGAAAAAAATTTGCCAGTAATACGC